CGACAGCCCCCTCGTCAAAACTTCTGAGAGGACCGATTGCCACGTTCCCTCTTTATTATTCACAATATTCAACAGCATGTCAGCCTCGTGATTTTTGAGGAAGAATTTCTGCGAAAGCTTGCTCCTATTGACCTCTCTTTCATTTCTCAGCATCCCTTCAAGCCCACAGTCGTCCAGAATATGGAGATTCACTTTGGCGTGCGGGTTTATAAACTTCGGTCAAACAGGGAGATGTACAGGGACGGATGCAGGTGTTTCCAGAGGCTAAAAGGGGGGGGGGGGGGGGGGGGGGGCCCTTAGCGAAAACTAATACGTTTGAAATATACCACATTCTAATTTGAGTGTATTTGAAATACAGTTCATAATTGTAAGTACACGAAAAATATACCGAAAATATAAACTTCTTTTTTTTTTACTTAGTACAAAAATATACTTCTAAAAATCATTTTAAAATACCTTTACTTAAACTACATTTGAAGTTCCCTTCATGCGTTTTGAAATATGTAAATACTAAATTGATAGGCACGAAATACCTTTCACATATATTTCTTGAAATATTTATTTAATTCATGCCAAATATACTCCAACCCTAACAAAATGGAGCAATCACAAATACGTGCAGAATACTCTTAAAATACCTGAAAATCGTAAATACTGTTGTGTTATACTCTAAGTACCTTTTGACTGCAATACTTTGGTAGTTTGACTTAAACTACCAAAATATTGAAAAGCTCCCCTTCTGAAGTTCACTTCAAGCAGATATGGAGTACACTGAAGCGCCTAAATACAACATTTGATTAATTTGTCAATGGAATTGCGCAGCATCGCACTGATAAATCAGCCCAGTTTATGTTATTGTTTCCTTTTTTCTATCAAGAACACACCTGATCAGTTCCTTGCACACCAATCACAAACGGGGTTCGGGAACTACAACCACAACATTTGCTGATGCTGGAAAGCTTCAGCAGGTGCTGTGAACAGATACGTTTGGCGTGGTTTTGTTAGCACAATGGTAGTTCACTGAACGTGTATACTCACCATTGTACGTGATGTGAATAGTGACTTTAATACAGTGACATTAACTACCGTATTAAATAGTCAACTACTAAAAAGGAAAGGCAAAACAACTACTGTAAAACATTTATTTTTCCCGGGCTCAATATTTCAAGATTTAGGTAAAAGTTTGAGTTTTGGAATAATTCGCAAATTCTAATTTTCGCGACGCGCTGGGATCGCAATATAGATTTTAATGTTTTTACATTTTGCGGCGGGACCTATTTCTCGGAATTGTAGGCGATTCGCGAACTTTGCGAGAATTAGGTCCTCACGAAAATAATGTCGTTTACAGTATCTTAAAGTGAAGAAACTGCCTTGATTCGCTTCGTCCTGAGTGGTGCTACGCAGAGAAGCAATAACATGTATTTATGAGCCGCTTGTGCGGATATTGTTTTAGGGACTGTGCCGAATTGTTATTAGTTGTACCAGTGCCTTTTAGTAAGAGATATCGTCCACGAACTTCAAAACACTGTTTCCCCTTTGACAGACTCCCGAGGAGAAGATCGAATACTTGGAACCTTTATAAGCGCAGAGGTGGTCACCGAAAAAATTATTACCTTCAATATGTAGGCTATATAAGGCTCTAGAGCAGTCAACGGGACTGTGAATGAGCTGTTCAGTGCGTCATGGTGTTTGTGTTTGTGTTCGTTTTTAATGTAGCTTTGTGAGATGTATTTAGTAGTGCCTTCAAATACCACAGCGACACTATTTGCTGACAAAATCGAAAATAAAAAAACAATTGTGTAACCGGTTTTTAGTGCAAAAATGGCATCTTGAGTGTGAAGGAATAATATTTTTGGTATATCTAAAGTATTTTTTGATTCATATTTATAATGTATTTTAAATACCTTACGCGCGTCTTTCGAATGCGGCCAAAATAATACAGAATAAATAATGAATATTCGTACTAAATATATTTCACCTTCGTTTGAAGTACGGCCTCTTTTTGCTAAGGGGGGGGGGGGGGGGGGGTAGGTCAGCTGCTCAGAGGTTTGAGAACACCTCCCCCCCTCCCCCCGCTTTGTTCTCTCCCTAAACTTTTAGAAATGTGGACTACAAAGAGGGGGGGGGGCACCTGAACCCCTCCCCCCTTGCCACTCTGTATCCGCCACTAATTATGTAGTATTAAGGGAAAGGTTAATGGAACACAAAATAGCAATGAGCTGAAGGGCGCAAAATACGGAGATTGCCAAATAGGTGGATAAGTGCAAAGGGCGTGCCCCTGTGTAGAGTGAGTCTAAAACTTTATGTTAGAAGATGACCCCAGAAAAAGGTTGATGATGGAGATTATTAGAATAGCTGGTCTGGGGAATCGTATTAGTAACCCCTGCAGCATTTTAGATAAACAAACCAGGTCTTTTTCACGTCCCTACTTCCGTGCCGCGAGTCATGAGTACTTTATACGACTCATTTTTCTCGGGCTCAACATCTGTTTACATTTTACCGGAATAGTCCGCGGGACATATTTTTCTCGAATTGTATGCCATTCGACAAATTCGCGAAAATTAGGTCCTCGCGAAAATTAAGTCGTTTACAGTAATGGACCTTTTCCACATACCGACGACACCAGGCGGTGGCTGCACGAAGTAAAAATCGAGGAAGTGACCTACCTGCGCCACCAATCGATAATGGGAGCTACGCTACCCGTTTCTTCGCTCTCTGAGCAGCGGCGCCTGCCCAACGCGATTTTAAGAGGGCATCCGTGGCGTCCACCGAAACGTCGTGTTTTCCTTTCCGTCGACGTTCTTTTTTTGTGTAACACAATTATATATATGCTGCAGTTAAGTGTTCTACTCGCTGATATGCAGCCTCCTTCCGAATTTCCTCGATTTTTCGTTCCGACTTCCGCCGCTTGGCATCGGGCGCTCGCGCGTGCGCAGAACGCTTCTCGGAAAAGGTCCATTGGTTACGCTTTCTTTGTATTAGGGAGTTTTAGCGAGTCGTTTTTCAAGCACACGGTTCCGAAATCACGAACGGTACAGCTGGTTCGTTCCGTGAAACCGTACGTCAAATTTCACATACTTTAGCGAATCGTGAAAGTGGCGCGACCGTGTAAACGATGATGATGATCGGTTTAACGGTGGCGCCATCTTCTAGTAAACATGTGAAACATTCTGCAACGTGTAATAAATCCGTGCCGACGGTGGCGGACACCGTGGTGGTGGCTCGTGTTTCCGGCGTACGACTGATGCAAACAAGACGGCCGACGTAACATTTGCCGGTCGGAATTTCAAGAACTGCGAAGCTAGATAGAGTAAAAAGTGTCTGAACGACCGTAAAGGTATGTGGTGTGTCTCCGTCATCTTGAACTTGAAGGATCGTTCACGTTGTGTGCCGTCGAACCAAATCATTTCGTCTGCTCGCGGTCGCCACGGCAGCTAGTCTGCCGCAGATCGCAAAAATTTACTAGCATGCGCAGTTTACAGTATTCACGATCGCTTACCATTGTGAGTAGTCCTCGAAATGATTTGGTTCAACTCTCAAATGAAGCAGACTAACAGGACGGCAAATCGCCTCCCGCTGTCCTAAGCCTAACGCTCGGCTGGGTCGGCGAAGGCGGTCGCCGAACCGACCGCCATCTTTTTTTTATTCGAGTCGTGAACGGTGCCGGCTGCGTTGCGGTGACGACTCCAGCGGCCGGAATGGGAGAAACGAACGAGAAGAGCCTCCCGACTCCCCGAACGACTCGCGCGCGCATGCGCAGTGGCGTCTCGGATGCGTTCGAGGGCGAACCGTTCGTGTGGAAACGACCTGCTAAAACTCCCTACCGGATTTTCTTTTTTTTCCATTTTGTTTTATATACGGCGGAGGGGAAGAGAGGAGGGGGGAGAAGGGGAAATATTGGAGAAGAAGAACCTGTTTATGTGGATTTGACTCAGTGGTTTTCCAAGAGTACTAATCTGGGGACTTGTGATGAAGTTTATGACGCCGGGGTATTGTTTGAAAAGGAGACAGACGGCTTTCGGGGCGGGGGGGGGGGGGCGGGGGGGCGGCGGGGTTAGCGGTTTCGGCGGTCGGCAGGCAGGTGGCAGCATTGCGGCTTCGTTTGGAAAGCGCAAGAGTATCACATCTATGTGTGAAGTGCCGGGACGTGTGGGGATTTATCGTTGGGTCCCTTTTATCTGAAGGAACTGGTGTCCACAAATGGCGAGGAGGAAAAGCTATTTAACGTGTGGCTGGCCAATAAACCTTGGCTGTGTTTGGGACTGGGTGTGGTGTCCATTTTTCTTGTTTTCCTCAGTCTCCGGGTTTTAATGCAGTAAATGCTTTTTAACTCTACCCCCCAGTAAGCAAATATTTTCCGTCCATCGATCCAACCGTTTGTCCGTGTATTTTCCACTAAATTTAGCGGGGAAAGTGGCGTCGCGTGACTTATACACCCTGGGGAAATTGACGGACGTGACCTATACGTCTCTGAGGTTCCCCGCTAAATTTAGCAGGAGAATACATGCATTGTGAACAAACCATTAACTCGGTTTCTCGCTAAATCTTGCGGCAAATTGACGTCACGTGACCTATACACCAATTCAGTTACCCGCTAAGTTTAGATGGAAAATTCACGTCTTGTGACCTAGACACAAATTCAGTTTCCCCGCTAGCGGGGAAATCGACGTCACGTAACTTGCCGTCACGTGACTTATACAACCATTCCATTTTCCCGTAAGATTTAGAGGAAAAATATACGTCAAGTGACACCAATTCCCTCAACAATTCCCAACAATGCATTTAATTCATTATAGGACTTTGAAGGTAAAGCTCGCTGCCCACTTTTTCAAAGATGAATTGTTCGACTATTGTTTGAGTATTTTATCAATGATAGTTTTGTTTGTACTTTGCCAATTCTGTTCCTTTTTTATGTGTTTATCTTTTTTTATGGTATGTCCTTGCTAAATGAACCCTTAAGGTATTTCAAGAGATAAAAGCGGAAGGGACATCACTCTTACTGTATGCAATGAGCTGCGGTCAAAATGATCCATGCGCTGATGAGAACCCCACCGCAGAAGGTGTGGCCTGTGCTCTTGTTGTAGAGTCCGACGACCCACGGCCAATGACCGTGCACCGCCTTAGTGCCATTGACGATTCGTTCCGACACATCAACAATCTGTTGACGCCGACCGCACTGCCTGTTGCAACGTGAAGTAACTTCGTCCTTTCTTGAGCTTGCAGTCACTGAAATCCCTATAAAAAAAAAAAAGTCGTTAAGGCTGGTTTACATTAAGCAGTTTTCATAGACCGCTCTTCCCTCTCCTCTACGCTGTCCGCAAAAAGGACGCGGCTATTGCGCATGCGCGCCGCTAGCCTTGTCTGCAGTCTGCAGATGTCCAGATCTCGTATTGGGTTGCGGAACGGAAGTAACCATCTACGAGAGCTCTCCATTTACGTTTTAGTGGGATTGACTGCGTCGCAACCACATGTGACAGCTTACGACAATAAAACACGTTGGTGCCATCTTTCGGGTGGCCTGGACCACTCCAGATATGCGCATATTAAGACCTAATATGTTTTTTCCGTCGATTTTCATGGATTTCTGTAACGTTTGGCTGTGTAACCACTGACTGCAACGAAAAACCGACACTGAAAAACGTTACGATCATAGGAAACCCTATGCACCAACTCATGTCAGGTAAATCATGCCTCGTCCGGTAAATCTGTTTACCTTTTGCCCCTCCATCTGAGACTCAAGGAGTTCAAATAAAGATTATTATTCTTATTATGTTTACAAACAAATTGGAGCGCCCCTTGCGGCACGCCATCGGCGCCGCGCATACGCGATGGAGTGTGGGCAAGAAGCTTCGCATTCCGCGTTACCAAACCATTGGAATGTGATGATGTTGTCGTTGTTGGTGTCGGTGTGAGTCACCATGCTTTTTTTCGAGTTGTAATTGTTGATTCTACGTGTTCCTAGCAATTTCTTACTACTATAATGACCTGAGCGAAATTAACGAGGCTCGTTACACCGCAAAGCTTCGTGTAAATTATGTGACGCGCGGCGATTCATTCCGCGTGAACGCCAAAGAATGGACGCTGAAGCCTGATTTACAAAAATGAGATGCTGCTCGCTATTTTCACATCTGAAGTAGCTCAAGCTGCAAATACGTGTACGGTAGCTGCGATACTCGACGTTAATGTTGAAAATCGCAAGCAGAATAGAACCAAGCGAATCAGGCGTAACAATTCGGTAATAGCCACTGGTAACAATTATCAACATCTCGTATCGATTGTTTATACGGAGCCTACTTACCAGAAAAAAAATCTTCAATCTTAAAAGTTCTTAGAGGCCTGCAGATACTTCTTGTCGCAACGTTTGGTGTACCGGCCGCTATCGTTTGAACGGGTCCATATTACATCAGCGAATGACGGTTTAGCGAACAGCGACATTTGAGCGAATCGACGTTTTAGCGAATAATGGGGGCGCGCGACAGTCTGTGGCGCCTCAGTGTAAAAATGTGAACCCACTTACCCCCCCCCCCCCCCCCCCCCCCCCCGAAAACGCCATTTCGCGGCGTCCGACTATTCGCTAGAGTGTCACTCGGTGGAACGTGGGCGTTCGCTAAAACGTCATTCCATCAAGTGAGTACCTCCCCATTTGAACAAGCAGACGACAGTTTGAGACGAGTTTGAAAGAGCAAACAACAGTTTGAACGATCTGTAGCGAGGGAGTTTGAACGATCTGTAAAGACGAGGTGTGCCGAGACGATGCACTAGTCGTTTTGTTTTGTGCTGAGTAACAACTGTGTCCATTAAATTGCAGCACTGGCCGCTGTCCGACTACCAGCCGAATCCGCAAACCTCACTCCAATCGAGGCGCCCCTCCACTTCCTCAAGAAGGGCGCGAGGGCCGGCGCTGTCCAATCGCAACGAAGGATAGGCGAGGCTGCTTATCCGTCCTCGCGATTGGCCAGCGCCGGCTCTCGCGCCTTCCTTGAGGAGGTGGAGGGGCGCCTCAATAGACCCTTTCTAGAGTAACTGTATATGCTCCGCTTGCGGAGCAGAGTACCGCAATGGTGCCATTCTGGAGCCAAGCACTGCGGGAAGCCACGGTCGGTTTTTGCAGGGGACGCGAAGGCGCCAACGCGAGACGGCGTGCTGTGGCGTGCTGCGGCGCGCTGCGGAAGGAAAATAGTGCGGCGTGCGGCGACGAGCCGCGCAGGCGCCATCATCGTTGTCCCGTCGTTTCCTGTTTCCCTCTCGATTGCAAAAATCGCACCCTCGGATCCTGCGGGTCGCGTGTGAAGTGAAGTCGTCAATTCATTGCGGTAAACGACGCAGCGGCTGACGAAAACGCCGTCCCCTCGCTTTCGCACGAGAGCTCGCCGATTCGCCAGGACCGCCGGATGTGCCGGTCGCGTATCGCGTATCACTCCGCGAGAGCCGCAGACGCGAGCAACGCGATCGCCGTCCGTGTCGTCTGCTTCTCATACCTTGGAAACGGATGTCCTAAAACATCACTCGCGTTACAAAAAAAAACAGGATTGTATTGTACCCAGTTGACGCACATAATGTTCAATGACTTAGGAAGCTTTCGGTTTGTTCGATGTTAGTCTAAGATCTATATTTGGCGAACTCAAAGCGGAAAATATGTTCCCCCGAAACTCGGCGCTCTGGAAGGCCGCTTTCCCGCACGAAGGTCGGATCCAGTTCTGCGCACGTGACCACTCCTCCGCCAATACGGAGATGGCGGCGAAAGGAAAAGGAACGCGATACTCTGGCTCTGCAAGCAGAGCCTATACAGTTACTCTAACCCTTTCCGAAATTCAGTGCCATCTGGTGGCTGAAATGGCGGCTTAAATTTTGCCGTACTAATGGCGCCAATGAACCTGTAGCCTGCAGTATTTTATCGGGCACCATCACTTTCGCAAGTTAACGGCAGACGAGAATGGGGTGTTGGGGTGTTACATAAGGGGACAAGGGGTACACCCCTTGTCCCCTTATGTAACACCCCAAAACAATAAGTCGACGTTCAGTCCACAGACGTCGAACCGACGATACCAACTTTCAAGAGCGGCTTGACAGTAGACCAATACAACTTATTAAAATAGTTAATGTGCGCATTAAAGACTAGAGTAACACACTCAAAGATTTTTTTTTTTTTTTTGCCCTGCTGCAAGATTTCTTTTTTTTTCTAACTTTTGATACGCACATTAGCCATTTAGTATGTTATAACCAAGCGCTATCAAGCCGCTCGATCATCTGTTGCAGTGTCGATGGCCACAAAGATGCAACCAGTCAGAACGAAGCGTCAACACAGATAGACGCCTTGATGAAGTTCTATACATCAAGGGGCTTTGAAGTCGATTATGTGCTACTAACAAATTGGCTGGGCCCGAGTTCTAGAAATGAACACTTACGCAGCTCTTGCACTCATTTCCTGCTTCGCATCGTGCTAACGTCTCCAATATGTAGGCCTCGAATCTTCAGCTTAGGAGTATCTTCAACATGTTCCTTCAGCGATAAACAGAAGGCTGCCATTAGTACTGCACATAGGCCATTTTTCAGATGACGATAGTAGTGATCGAAGTGGCCAGATTGAATTTTGGAAAGGGCCTATTGGAGTGAGGTATGCGAATTCGGCGGTTAGTGTCCGACAGCGACCGGACGGCTTTCTTGGCGAACTTCCCTTCGACAAGTTGCCCTATGATGAGTTGCCCTATTCGACAAGTTGGCCTTCAAGGATTTGCCCTTTGACTAGTTGGCCTGCGACAAGTTGGCATAGAACCATCGGAGCAGCACAGCTGCCGCACACGCACTTCATTTTCGGGTGCCAGCGCGACAAGGACGAGCGTGTATGGATGCCTATACCTGAAGTCCGTTGAGTTTGTCCAGGCGTAGTAGTTTTCGCACTGCTTCTTCATTGGTTACGTCGACGACGACACCTCCAGGGGTGGTAAACCGGTGACGGAGAACACTTATACCTGCCGTCGCGTTTATTTGATTACTCCGACACAAATGATTTTGCTGTGGAGCTTCACATTTTCGCTTTTTGCGTCCAGGAGTACTGGAATTTTAGTATTTCTTTTTCGCTGATGCTGAAGAAGAGTCACTTTTTTTCAGAGAGATTGCCCATCTTGTTGCCGTCGGCCTGGACGTCACTCCTCATTGTTGACTCTGACGATTCGCCAGATTGTCGATTGCCTGTTTTCAACGCTTTATGGTAAAACGTGGACGTGGTGTCTCTGTATTGGTGGTTTCTCCCCCTGTCAGAGAAGCTGTGGCTCACCGCTGGGTCTAGCCTTGGCCTGGTAGGTCATGGTCTCACTGTCAGTGTACCTTGATGATGGCCAGGGTTGTGAAGTTCGTAGGTACAAGTAACTGGATAAAGGAATTTAGGTACTTTTGTTGTACCTAAGCTACAAACCTAGGTGCTTTCATTTCACGGTATCTGTATCTGTTTATTAGGTATAATTTCCAGTAACTTGTAGCGTAGTGAAGTTACTTTTTACAGGTAGTTTTCTATTCACTTCGTCAAAATGGTAGAAGCTATAAACCTTGAAGTATTAACAGACCACCATGTGCCGTGATTAACGTTCAGTTGGGTACGACCTGGGAGACACTAACTTGATCGAAAGACGTTTTAGCGAATGAAGCCCCTCCCATGATGTTTCATTGAACGACACTTTAGCGAATGGCGGTGTTCATTTGAGCGAACGGTGGATTAGCGATGCCGCTCCAGCAACACCAATTCATCAAATCGCTTCTGAACTCCGTTTAGGGAAAATATCGACCTGATTCCTTCATCTCAAACCAAAATCGACTTCATTGCGTGTTCGAAGCTCCTATGACAGCTATACAAGGGAGGAAATAACTTAAAAAACGTGCGCAGTTTTTTTTTTTTTTTTTTTTTTTTTTGCCTGCATTTTGTCCTGGTGGTGGGTCTCTTCTGCCATAAATACAATATAAAATATAATTGAAAATAAATTATAATTGCTATCGTAAGGCAATGTTACATCGCGTATATAATACAATTTCCACTTAATAACTCAGACTCAAAATTTGCAGTTATCAATACTGAAAAAGTTGCGAAAGAAATGAAAGCTTATTTTTCTTCCGATTAACGAAAAAAAGGGGGAAAAAAAACGAGGAAGCTTGAAGCCCTT